CTGAATATCGAGAAAACACTTCATACAGTGATTATTGGACCTTTAAAGAGTATTTTTAGGAAGTTTCAGCTAAATCCAAGTTTGGGCGATTTTCGTCGTAGTAGAACTTTAAAACATGAAGTTATTTACAAAGAAATGTATGGAGCGATGTTTAGTGTTGAGTGTATGATGTCTTAGCGTTGAAATACAAAACGATATTCATCCATTCCTCTTTCATGGAAAAAAAATAGTTAATGAAAAAAAAATTAAACAAGGAAAAGCACAAGTTKACATATATTTTTAGAACTAAACAACAAAAAACTAGAAGAGATAGCTAGCTTAGAGCAAGTGTGAGCTGCGTCGGTGTTTCTAATGAAACAGTCAAGGGATAAAAAGGCAAATTATACACCGTGATAAGATGAAAAAAACCTACCGACGTTTCGGATATGCTAGTCCTTCGTCGGAGTAAAAAAGAGAATTAGAAAACGTTAAGACAAATCAAATATATCATGGCTTATTGATACAAACGTCCTGCACTCCGATTCTTCAACACAACAGAATATAAATCAAAACACAGAATATAAATAAGAGAATGGATCGAAACTAGAATCCTCTTTAATGGTAATGCTTCTACAGCGCAATGTTTTTTATCTTCAACTTTTGCATTGGGGTTTAAGTCATGGTGTCAGAGGTCTGAGATTGAGCGAAGAAAAAGACAAATCTGCTGAGTGCTGGAGAAAACGGAAGGGTTCGTGGGACCTGTACAAACTCGCTAGTTAACTTAAAGATAAGGCTGAGAAAATGCTAGTCGTTACATAAGATCCAGTTGTTGAACTAGTTAGGAAAAGATTACCAAGAGATCTTCTCACGGTTTAGCTGGACTGTTTAAGAAGACTCGGAGATAATATTACAAGTAATATTTTTTCAAATAATGTGCTTTGATTATCCTAGATTCTAAAAGTGCATTTTATTCTAAGATTTTTAAAGGGTTTTACCTTCAATGTCATTGTGTTTATGAAGATATTCTGCACTCTGGTCTATGTAGGGAGTTTGAAGAATAACCTTGGTTTGAAGAAAACGGCGAAATGTGATTTTTAGCAAAACGACAATTAGTAGAAAAAAATATTCCTTCAGGTTTTAAGATTTGATGCTGATTTTTCGTAAGGCTCATCTGCAATACTTGGAAATAGATATGTGAAAACTTCACGGCAACCATTCAATGGTAATGTTTCTACAGCGCGATGTTTTATATGCTTCAAATTTTGGGTCGTATATTTTCAAGCTGCGTCATTACTTTTTTATGCCCAAGGCGCTCCATCCAAATTTATACACAGGCTGCAATAGTACTAGATGATAAGATTCTGAAAATGTCAGAAAAATCGTACCTGGGGATGAGGAGAAAAAAGCCAACAACTAAAAATAGCACTGTTTGATTTTCGGCCTAAACATTTAAAAAATCTTAATATAAAATAAAATATCTTAAAATAAAATACACTGTTAGAATCTAGGATAATATAAGCACATTATATGAAAAATTAAATTGATGCATCATTTTTGCGAAGCGAGCGAGAATAAATTTGTCCAAAATGTATCTCTGAACAAGGGCGCTTACTCAGCGATGACAGACGTGTAACCAACGAAACCTAGCGCCCTTGAAATGATGAATATGAATTTCTAAAACGCATGTATTTTTAACCTTGGCTTGAGATCAATCGTATTTCAACTTCCAGCTCACTCGTAAATGAAAACTAGAAAATGTCTATTAATTTCAAAACATAGATTAACAAAGGAAACTATGAAGAATCAAGCAATTCTGAAGGAAAACCTAAGCAAAGATTAGCCTGTGTTTGCGTTTTAAATGAAGCWTTTCGATTTTAAAGAAGGCTATAAAAGTTTGGAGTTCCAGATTCAGTTATTCGATGACTTTGATCAGTATGGCATAACCGCTCTGCCTTAAACGGCTTTCGACAATGTTGTTCGAAATTTTGCGGCTGCTATTACAACTTTTTGCGATAGATTCTTAGAGACTTAGATACCAATTCGACGATTTAACTTCAGATATGTATCAGATATAACTTCAGATATAATCAATAATATTGATATAGATATAAACATATAAAGTCCAAAAACAACAGTTTATAAAACTACTCGGAGGAACATATTGTTAAACTAGTATACCATTTATGTAAACTGAATAAGACTTGCGACGCACTTAAAGTTTCACCTCACGTATTCCAGCTAATGCCACTTTTATTTATTAATACATGATACTTAACCGTTTGTCTCATGATTGAACGTAATTCATTGAAGGAACGCGATCCGCTTCTACAAGTGACCCTCGCGTCAGACAAACGAATATGTATCAGTCATTATAATGCCACGATGAATGCTATTTTCATTCTAACACCATTTTTGTCGCTTACGTACATTTATCTTTAGGGCAGCTTTAGTCATGGCCGAGAAAGGTAAGACTAGTTACGTAGGAAAGCTGAAAGACGATATCAAGAAAAAGGAAAGAATAAAAATTGAATTAGAAGAAAAGTTGAGAGAATTAGAAAAGAAACTGAAAGACCATGACGAAAATTGCCAAACGAAAATCCATGATCTGGAAAAAGAAATACAAACACTTAAAGAAGAAATAACAAGACTTGAAAAAGAAATAAAAGAGATGAAGATCAAAATGGGACACTTAGAAGAGAGTAACACATTCCTTGACAAGGCAGCCAATGAAGCCAAGGCGGAAATCGGAGAGTTGAAGACAAAGTTTGGAGACTTAAATGAAAAAATAAAGAAGTTTGAGCTTTCTGAAGATGAGTTGGTTATTCGGCAACTCTGTTCAAGCGTTCAGAAAAATATCTTGAGGATCGTGCTGCAAGAAAATTTCAACGAAATTCAGAACAAAAGTACTCGGTATATGAAAGAATACATTGAGCAAATTAAAGACAAAGGCGAGCAAAAAAGAGCAAGGTCAAGATGGAAAGAGTTACGAAAAGAGGTTTCCTGGAATGAATTTAAATTGATAACACAGCTAAAACCGGTTAAAACAAGAGGGAACGAAACTGCTCATCCACCTTTGACAAAAGAGGTCATAATGGCCGCGAAAAACAAATTGGAAAAAATGGAGAAGTTAGGACCGGAAATGGTCGAGGCAGTAGACCAACTCGAAGATATATGGGAAACAACAAACAAAAAGCTACCGCAAGGGTAAGCATTTCTTAAAACCCAAAGTAAAATATCATATGCAGGTTTTTTATAGGTTGACGTATTAATGTTTATAAACATCGTTATTAAAATGTTTTAAATGTGCCAACAATCATAACAATGGTCAGTTTTTTCACTTTGCTTTGTTGGATTGTCCAATAGATTTCTGGTTGACAACATTTAAATAACAATCAACGAACAAATTTCGTCATTGTACACATACGCCCATGTGTTCCGACTCCCCTTAGTTACCGTTGCTACGTTACACGAGCACAAAAAGATTAGCTGGAAAACAGTCTCAATTAGTGAAACTCTGCTCGCGGTCATAGTTCGTTGTGCAATGCCATTTCATAAAAATACCAAACGAAATAGTCAAGTCTTCAAATCATTAAAGCAGGAAACAGGTAGAAATGTGGGTAGTCGTTGCTATTTCCGAGTTTCATATCTTAGGAGGACTGGGTCGAAACCGGACCGTGAAAAAGATGCCGTAAATATCTCCATTTCCCAGTGAAAGATTTATTCCATGCATGATCAACGCGCCAGCAGTTTTACAGCGCTAGCTAGCGGATATTTTCTGGGTACCTGCGGGAAATAAAATATCTCAAAACTGATCTGTAAATTCATTTTTTTCTGGAGTGAAACGTCCACGAAAAACTCTTGGTTCTGTTTTGATGTATTTTTTTTTTCTATTCGTTTCCAGTCAGTTCTTGTTGATATAATAGAACAATAACGTTGCCTTTTCCAGATATCTTACAGAACAAGCACCAAGGGCCAAGAACAAGGCGGTCCAAGGATTACGTCTACCACAGGATAAAACCATGAAGATATAAGGCTTCCCAATGGTATCTATGCAAGCAGTGCCACTAGACAGGGACATGATTTCAAAAAAGCTAGTGGAAGACAATCTATTTAAACGATATACGGAAAAGGACACTAGTGGGGCTAGTTAAGATAATTGTTTAATTACCTTAACAAAGCTATTTCTGGAAAGATATTCTTTCGCATCACAACGAAGTTTTTATTTCCGAATTAAATCACGTAAAATTATCAATCTCTATAAGGTTGACCTAAAACTATCTGCAATTAGTTTAAAACTACTACAGCGAGCTATTAAGAATCCTGCGCTCTGATTGGCTGAGCTTGTCTATTGATGATAGACCGCTAGTAACGAAAAGAGCTGGTTTCAAAACTATAACTATGGAGTCTAATTCTCCTTTGTAACCGGCTTTTTTTTAATCCATTTATTTCACCGTTCAGTAGGGTTAGACTAAAACCTAAATAACGATTAGACCTCTAGCCCTCATACGAGTCAATAGCCTATTGACTATGTTCAATATCCTATGAGCCAATGACTCATAGACCATTGTTAAATATTCACTTCTTTGCCTTGACTTGAATGGCAATGTATAGCACTCCCGTCTGATATCCAGACGTTAAACTAGACAATGGGGAACGAGTTCATAATGTAACCTTCTCTTAATATATTTATCAAATCTATTTACATTAACATGCTATACATGTTTTTATCGTACGCACAAAAAGAACTATCGCATAAAGGCGCCTAGCTGGCCTACACCTACGCTGTATATATTAGCTAGTGAAAAAACAAACAAGGGACTGGTTCTAGTTAAAATATGAAATAATTAGAGTATTGTAGAAAATAAATTACCGAATCAAATGAAAGACTAGCTGCAAACAAACTTACTGACTAAGTTTCAGGACGTTTGTTCATATACTAACAATATTATGAGCATAAAAACACTGCCAAAATTACATAGAGATATAGTGTCCAAACACATGATATTGCTTACTATGAATCACGTGACTTTTTTGGAGTTGACTGGGGAGCAAACAAGCGGATGCTAAGTCAAAACATATCAAAATAAGTCCTCAAACTCTTGTATTTGACTATTTTCACAACATCAAACCAAAAAATAAGAGATGAAAACAACCTCCAGGACTCTACAAGCCATAAAAAAAAAAGAGCTATTACCGGAAGTGACGTCTATTGATAGCAACCTATATATATTTTAATATCGCAATTTTATTATTGGAATTTGTCCAATCAAAGTCAAATGAACTAATTTCAATGTGATCTTTATCTGGTTGGGAATATAGAAACAAAAAACCAGTCATTTTATCGTATGTTTAGTTACGTGTATCATATTTTCATGTAACGGCCTCTGGTAGTCTGAATTATAAATTTAAAAGATCAAGATTGTGTGTACAGAATGTAATCATGCATGTTCTATTGCTGTCGGTTTTCTCTTACCCTTTCCCACTTGCACAACGCGTTGCATCATGGGGCTGTTTTAGGGAACATTAATCAGGGCAAGGAAACCTTAATAGTCCAGTTCATTTTTAAATTTCTTTTATTTCTTGATGATTTCAAAAATAACTTCCGAATATAGCCCAAACCGAAAATGGCGGCAAAATCAATGGGAGAGTGACTATAGCCCCGCAGACTCCGTGGTACCTGCGCATGATATCATCAAACTATCTAGATGTAAACTGGCATACCATGTACAGTTGTAAAATTAATCATTTAGAGAAAATCAAGACTCGGTTCAACTAGTCGCCAACCCTTACCCGGCTACGACAGTGGGTCTTAACGCTTGCCCCCTTACATGATTGGAAGCACAGCTTTTTATAATGAAGGAATGGGAGAATTTATTTTAAAAATCCGTTTCTCAGTAATTAGCGAAAGAAATCAATTTCCTTTTTCTTTTGTGGTCAAAATATTGAGGATCTTAAAATCTATAGATCTTAAGCCTAGTACCCTCCTGCGCAGCCGTTGTGTGGCGCTTCCGGTTCCCGTTATTCCCTCACTACCATCTGCTCCAACTCGAACAACATTTCTTTCTACATTGTTCTCTATTAGCCAATCAAGTAGCTCGGTGATATGTTAATGTTATTTCATTTTACTTTATTTCTTTATTGTTTTTGTTTAACTTGTATTATCTACGTGTACACACAAGTTTTCAGGCGAGTCGGTGTGTACAATAAGTGACAAGAGGGATATTCCATTGTGTTGAAACATGGTATATATTTTTCTAACGTATACACTCAATTGAAGAATCGTTGTCGGGTTCAGAAAGATAGAACATAAAAGCTGAGACCGATATGGCATATGGGAAGTACGTTAATTAGATGCTTGTTGTTACCGGCGACCCATGGCATCATTCACTGTTTTTAATACGCGTTTGGCATTCTAATCCGACTGCATGGATGGCGCAAACGAATAAATTATAATATAATTATGTCATTTCCCATGTGCCATTTCAGTCTCAGCTTTTATGTTCTATGTTTCTGAACCCGACAACGATTCTTCAATTGAGTGTATATCAGTATTTCTTGAAGGAATACAAATAAATCTTGGAAGACAGTTTCGTTTTGAATTTACCTCATCGTCAACAAGCTTGGTGAGTTGCGAGTCTCATGCTTTACTCCAGCGAAAACCAAAGCATCATACATTTCAGCATCCATAGCCTACGAGAGAACATTAAAAAAGCTATTATAACTTATAATACTCAGCAATATACTGTAATGTCTGGGGTAACCCTAAAAGTTAAATATTAGGACAATTAGGACTACTCCATGCTTTTAATAATGGGTTCTGCGAAACACATGTAAATGCTACAATCTGATTGGTCAGTACGATCACGTGACACATACAAGGGTGCTTAAGCTTAAAGAGTACATCGCTTTAAAATTACAAAACACCGAACGCATTCAATTTATATCAGTATTAACACAACACAAACTAAAGTTTGTGAATAAGCGGGGCGTGACGGTTAGACCATTGTTTATTTAAACGAAAGGAGCGATCACCCTTAGTAATCCTACTCAACATTATTCAGATCCTGGCAAAAAAAAGTAGGGTCGTACTTTGCGTAATTCCTTGGTAATTGCGTTTGTGCCGGCCCTTCTCTGGTATTTATCTTTCGTACACAGAAGACCATGTTGCGGTCGCTTAAGCTTGCTGATCCTACTCCAATTACGTCCAATAAAGTCTTCGATCCTTGAGAAATGCGTGTAACTTTAGAAATACTAGTATTTCATATTTTCTAATCTTAGCCCCCTCCCCCAGTTTGGAATAACTGAATAAAACTTCAATACACCTATGTTGTTATTGATAGAGGACATTATTCTGTTGAAAACATCTTGATCCATCTTAACTTTCCCATCATTGTGAACAAGGACTTTTTCATGATCTGTTGTTATTTCTGTCAGTAGATTATTCGTATTCTCCAGACAGTGACCCAAAAGCACAGTGTTTGAATGTTTGTTTGTAGCAGTTTTCCATAATCATGTGTCTCTCAGTCACTCTATTTACTACCAGTTTTCTTTTACGCAATAAATTGTTCTACTGAATCTAAAAACAGATACGAAGTAACGACAACGACCTACATAACAATTAATGATAAAACGATATATTATACACCGTGAAAAGTTGAAAAAACTTACTGAAGTTTCTGACGCTAGTCCTTCGTCGGAGTAAAAGAGCTTTTACTCCGACTAACTGGACTAGCGTCCAAAACGTTTTTTTTTTCAATTTTCACGGTGTATATTTTATCCTTTTATCATTACTGTTTCATTAGAAACACCGACGCAGCTCACACTAATTTTTAGCTACTGTAGTACTGCTTAATGCTTGTAGTCTTCTTTTGATATGTTATCTTTCTCAGAAACCTAAGAATATTATTCAGATCTAAAGTGTTAATTGATTTAGAAGTAGCCTGCAGAGCAAGCGTTCTTTTGATGGGTTTGAGGAAGAATCGGGGTTTTGAGTTTCCTGTTTCGACTTCTTGACCGCGAGAAAAATGGGACCTAGCAAAAAGAGGGAACGTGGGGGAGAAGAAGGGAAAAGAAGAAAATGCCTGCCAGCAGCCCTTGTTTTTTTGAAGAACTCGTTCATGGGCGAAAGGAGGCTTCTAATTGGCTCGGTTTAAAAATCTTTGATGGACAGCAATCAATCATATGGATGGATAGATGGATGGATGGATGGATGGGTGAATGAATGATTGAACGAAATCAAAAATCAAAAGGTTATGAATAGATTCAAAGTAGCTCGGTCTTTGAACCATTCAAAAGTAAATATAGTTCGACGTGCCGTCACTAAAAGTGTAGATTCAGCAAAAAGTATTTTTACTGCACGTAATGTCATTACGTCATTGACCACTGAGAAAATAAACGTAATGGATGTACTGGGAAAGTGAGTATTTAAGGTGGAACCAAACTAATTCAGAGCGAATTTTGGACAATTTTATTCTCGCTCCCTTCGCAAAACTATTGCGTCAATTTAATTGTATTTTTCATATAATGTACTTGGATTATCCTAGATTCTAACAGTGTATTTTATTTTAAGATTTTTTAAATGTTTAGCCTATTATGATCGAAATTCATTTTTTAAAGTGAGGTGTACCTAAAGAGTTCACCCCGCTAGAAATAATTAATTCAATATCGGTCGACAACAACGCTCTCGGACATTCCACGTTAACTTCGGGACAGGTTCGGCAGAATATCTGCATAAACACAATGACATTGAAGATGTCGTTATGCAAATATTCTCCCGAACTTAACGATGCGGAACGACCGAGAGCGTAGTTGTCGACCGACAAGGTGAGCTCTTTGGGTACACCGCACTTTAAAAAATGTTTTCTCCAAATTTTGGATAGGACGAGCTGTAGAAATTTCACTACCATCTAGATAAAGCTCTGGTCTATTGATGTAGGAAGTTTAAAGAAAAAACTTGGAGCCGTTTTGAAAAAAAAGGCAAACATTTGATTTTTAGCAAATCTCTCATTTTTGAGGTTTACAACTCAAATTAGTAAAAAAACATTTATTCAATGAGTTTTTAAGATTTGATGCTGATTTTTCGTAAGGCTCATCCACAATACTTGGAAATAGGTATGTGAAAACGTCAAGGCAATCCATTCAATGGTGGTGTTTCTAAGGCGCGATGTCTTATATGTTTCAAATTTCTGCCCAAGACTTTCTATCCACATTCATACACAGGCTGCAATGGTACTAGGTGAAAAGATTCTGAAAATTTCAGAAAAATCGTACCTGAGAATGAGGAAAAGAAAGCCAAAAACTAAAAATAGCACTGTTTGATTTTCGGCCGTAATAGGTTAAACATTTAAAATATCTTAAAATTAAATACACTGTTAGAATCTAGGATAATCCAAGTACATTATATGAAAAATACAGTTAAATTGACGCAATAGTTTTGCGAAGCGAGCGAGAATAAAATTGTCCAACATTCGCTCTGAATTAGTTTGGTTCCACCTTAATGCAGAATCGACATACCACGACCAACATTTGAAGTACTTTTTTTTTCGTTTCGAGGTATTCGAATCATCTTGCATTCCAGGGTGTCGAAAAATACCTTTGAAAACCGCATTCCAATTCGTGTAGGCAATGTGTTTTACGAGAGTTTTACTCTCTTCATCTCGAGGAATTCTGGAATTCTAACGACAACAGTGTCATTAGTGTTTCGCCTAACAACCTTTACTTGAAAATTTGACCGTCCTTTGGCTAGTCCTTCGCATTCAAATACGAGGAAAAATTTGCATCGTTATTCTTTTCCAACGATGGGCTTTCGTTTTCCTCAACGGTATATATATTGGTAGCTGAGCGACTTCTTTGCGCACAGCGACTTTGAACACGTTATCTTTGTTGTCTTCGTCATCTTCTCGGCCTCAAGGGACTCGATTTATTTTATTTATATATCCAGTAATCTTTCGCCTTCTTCCTTAGTCTTGGATGGGGTAGGAGTTTGAACGGCATTACTTTTGCCAAAGTTATACAATTGATATAACTTTCTTATTTTCTTATATTTATTTCAAATATTGGCAAGGACAACCCCAAGAGAATCTTTTCTTCTAAAAGGCTTGAACAAATTTAGTCAAATGACAGATATCCCTGTTTTCCTGGGTTACTTGGAACTCAGGAATTTACTTTAAAACAAAATCGATAATTTTCTTTCTATCGGTCATAGAATTATCGCTAAAAACTTTTTGAATGTTTTGGTTCGAGCATACAGTAGTTAATATTTAATTACGCTGTCGAATTAACATGCGCTTAAAATGATATACGGTAATTCTGGCTAGAAATTTGCCTTAAAATCAGTTCTCATACTCATTAATAA